TTTCACATTTTTAAAGCCTGTGAAATGCATTTCCCGCCAAAATATCACTTAATTTTAAATGCCGGCTTTTAATATACAAGTTGAAAACAAAAAGTGATGTTTTTTCAAGTGTATAACACACATCTATAATTTCAGACTATTTTTTATTTTTAGGTATATTCGCTGTATAACATGCGCCTAATTCTTCATAAAGAAATCGAAGACGCATTTACAATGCTCTTATCTTTTGAAGTCACTTATTCAAAGATTTATCCTAGACTTTCGAACAATAGCATATCAAATTGACGAGTGATAAGGGGAACAATATGTGTGTGTGTGGGTTAAATGCTTGAGGGAGTAAATATTCCTGCAAAGAAGGTGGATTGTATTCATTGTAGATGTCCAAAAGAATGCTGTTGTAGGGTTTCGACGAAAGGGGGATATAGTTTGGAGTAAGAATGCACTTGGAGCCTGAATGGATTCGTAAAATTAGAAGTTAGATGTTTTCTCTTTACTAGTCTTTATTCTAGGTTAAAGCTGGAACAGTTCATATATTTGATGAACAAGTTGATTGGTAGGAGTTCAAATTTAAAAAAACATGAATGTTCAAAACATAAATCAGCTTTACATTAGTAAAAGCATCTTTACTGAAGCCCTTCCAGTTTTGGGGACTATGCCATTTAATTGATACAACACAGAAACGGCTGTCATTACATGATGTATAAAAATCCTTTAATTTGCAACAACATTTCAAATAACTTGTTTATATGGTGGTAGTGTGTAAGACAGCATATCATTTTATTTCAGATTATAACTTACAAACAGTGCAGATACTTCTATATAATTTGAATCATTATTTTTTAATAATTTATTGAAATGAATTAAAGATATTTAATTTATAATACATCAAGTTGAGATTTGTTAATTTTTATTTTAATACACAAAGGTACTTTTGTACGAGTTTAATGTAATTACAAGTACATTAAACATAAAAGGAAGATATATGTGGATTTTTGTTAAAAATCTTACGCCAGACTAAGGCATGACCGCCATTAGTCTGTGACAGGCAGCCCAATCCTGTTTAGAAACATTAAAAAAAGTACAATAATTTTTTACCACATTAGCCATTGTGAACAAGTGTCCAAATGGTCACCACACGTCAATATCACATAATGGACATGATGAAGAGTCTGCTGAACCAAATCTGTGTTTCATGAGGTAGTCATTCTAGTTTTTAATCTAAAGTTAGTGACACCGACAGGTCTGAGGTCACACGGAGGTAGCAAAAAATTGGATCTTCCATTAGGGAATGGCAAATCTTCCTCTTCACGGAGTCCCCATTCTTCTCTCGAAGATAAGCTCCACATCTGGCTCCAAGCAAACAGGAATTTTGGGTTGAGGAATGACATAGCCAGCCAGTGTCAGCAAACTCATTACCTGTGATTTCACAATGACTTGGGATCCACTGCAGGATAACATTGCTACCATTATTTATTAGAAAATTTATCACAAGCTCACAATTTAGAGCATCCACACTTAAACATGTAAGATAAAAAAATATGTAAATCAGCTACATTCCTCATTTTTAATTTGGATATTTCCTCCTTATTCTAAAAATGATAACAACATTTCTGGACTGCATAATTTCTAGATTAATCTATGCCATAAAGCTTGTGTAATACTGATGACATAGTTATTTCGGAATCTAAACTCTGCAAACTGAAACCTTTGTAAACCATAACCTTCCTCTTTGGTGAGCTGCCATATTGGATTTAATACTTACTTTGCTTGTAACTCTGTTGCCGCTTGGACGTCATTTCGCTGTGATCTGTTTCTGTCGCAATTGTATTAAAAAATGTACATATTCTTGAATAGGCGCAATTAGAGTGCCACGTGAACTGTGGCTCTAAATGTGAATTTAAATAGAAATAGAAAAATTTCTTATTCATTGTGGATCAGCATTTCAGTATGCTAGGCAATCGGTATTCTTCCTCTTCAATATGGACCTACGTTCTATGCCTAACAACAATGCCACGTCTTTTTCTTCTATATATATGAAATGTTGCTAATATTTAGGCTCTAAAAGTTGTACTTTTATTTTACACAGTATGTTAGTCCATTCATGATAAAAGAGCAGATAAAGTGCAATGAAAGGCCATTTTAGATTTTATATTTTAATTTCACAATCAAGTATATAAAATCTACATAACAGTATTAAAAAATACAACCTTTAGTATCTCTTTGCTTTTCATAGTTTTTGATCAATATGTAATAGTTTACAATGACATTTATAAAATTCACAGTTTCACAATCACATTTATAAAAAGAAATGCAAATAGAAAATATATTTATACAAACTAAAAAATATACAATAAAAGCAGGAAAACATTTCAGACAAAATATAAATGTCAGTATTTTTTAAAACTACTAAATAAATGTTGTTGAGAGTGCATAAAAATTAATCTTTAATATTCAGTTTAAAAGGAAACAAAAGCCTGCAATATAAAATGTTTAAATCCTTCAGAAATTGAAGTAAAACAATATTCTTCAACATTTTTTTTTAGATTTCAAAATGAAAATTATTTTTCACAAGAAAAATACTTACAACAGAATTAAACTTGAAATTAAAATAACTGAAAGGATTATAAAGTTTTTAAATTTTTTTTATGTTAGTTTTTATGAAAGCATAAGGAAATATTTTATTTCTGAATTAATTATTTATTTTATGAAAGAATAAAGATTTCAGATGTTATTAGAGAAAAATATGAAATCACAATATAAAACTATTAAATCATTAAAACAAATCAGGCCTGCTACTGATTAAGGTGATAGCTTTCAAATGCAAATATTTACTGTTTTTAGAGTAAAACTTTTCTTTCCATACTCAAAAAGTTGCAGACTACACATTTACTTTCAATCAACAATAAGTATCTAGCCTTCAAGATATCTAAATAACTAAAATTAATTTTTCTTATTGAACATATCTCTGATAATAAAGTGAAAAAAAAAATATTAAAAACTGTTGGCTACTCATTTCTTTGAGTGTGATACTAGCTTTAACAGTGTTACTTATACTGCTGTTTATTGGCAAAATATTTTTTATATCTCAAACACATTATGGATGTCAATACAACGAGTGTAAATGGGAAAAATTACTATTTAATATGAGAAAATAATTTTTATGTAGAATTCGATACAGTGGCGTACGATTCGGCAACTTCTTTTACTAGAACAGCACATTTCACAAACATGGGAGTTTGGCAAGCACTCTGGGGCATCTACAATAATAGAAATAAATATATAATTATATCAAAATAGAGTTGATTTATGAGAATTGAAAAAGTTGTATTGTTCCAACAATTTATTTTACTATTGCAAAAATGATGTTCATAAATGCTGCTAGCCAAGCAAGAAAACTACCAATTGTTATTGTTGTGCAGCTGAAATAAGTGAGTGATACACAACAATCAGTTGCTATGAAATTATTTTTTAAGTGCCAACTATCAGGAAAGCAATGTTGTGTATATCTTTTTGTTACTTTTTAATTTGAAATGCATAATCTGCTTACATCTTGAAATACAAATGCATGAAATGACAACTTTATATACAAACAGAGGGGATAGATGTAAAGCATAGCAAGGCATGACTGGACGGAGTATATGAGGATAATCAAAACAGAACATAGTTGACTGTATGCAGAATCAGATGTCACGAAGATTCAGTATTTGTTAAGAGAATGAACAATCCATACAATTGTAAAAATGATGTGGATAAAAAAAGAATTTTTACCAAAATGATTCATTATGAGTATTTATCATAATTATAATGAAATTACAAAAAAAAAAAAAAAACATACGAAAATTTAGATATTTGTATGATAAATACTCATAATTAAAATGAATCATTTTGATAAAAATCTAAAATTTTTTTCAAATATCTCAAATTTAGATATTTGAATGGTTGGTACTGTGCTCTCAATCCTTGCAACAGAAAGTCTGTTAATATTTCCATTTATTTCATGAATTTCGCATTGGAGATCTTATGATGCCTCTAGTTCTCATAAGACAACTTGAACAGTTAAACTGTAATTCAGAAGTGAAAAAAATAAATGCACATATGAAGTTAAATAAGAAGTGTACTACTGCAGTAAAATAAAGAGCTTGACTTTTATATGGGCTGCAATTTGATAAATCTGGTTGAAATTATATCATGAAAATTTAACTAAAATGAAAAATGTTTAAACCCTTAGAAACACACACACAAAACTTGTATCAATACAAACATGATAGCAGGTACTTTGTATACACACACATCTTTGAGCTTATTACCAAAGTTTTAACTTGCATTCATTCTTATTGAATACAATATCTGGTAACAGTACATTCAATTTTAATTACAGCTGGCATAGGCAAAACATCAAATGAATTTACTGAGATTTTCCAAAATACGGACTTTCACCTTAGAATAAAAATAGCATTTTATATTTAATCACCTAGCCAAAATGACTATGTGCCTTGATAGGCAGATGGTCATAAAACATAATCCTCTGATATCCTCTGGTTTAATTTTATTCTAATAATTCATCTAAATTTACTACACTATAAGTCACCTTAATGATAATCACAAGGAAACACAAAAATGTAAATCACCGGTAGTCAACTTCTTTGATGAGTGGGCATCATTGTCTTTCGACTTAATTTCAATAATCCTAACTAGTTGTGTTCCTTCATTCCAAGAGAAATCTGCTAATATAAATTTTAAATAATTGTTAAATTGCCTAATTTTAATAATCATGTTAATTTTATCAAAGCTCTGACAAGCCTATTTAATTGCTTTTAGATTTTTATCACTTGCAAAGAAAGAATAGTATTGTATGCAAATTACAACTTGAATGCAATTAACAAAACAGATTTTAAACTATTAACTCACATTAAAAGAGGATTCAAATGGGAATCAGAACAGAATCACACAAAATGAACAAGTGATTATGGAGCATAGGACAGATAACAGCACATACAATAGACTTTAGCAGCTGCATTTATTATTATTATTATAAAATTATTTTTACAGAATACAAATATACATAAAAAACTGGTACATATCTAAAAGATAATTGGTTCATCAGCTTTGAAAAATTTAACATCTGCCAATACGTCTTTGATCAACAAATCATGAAATTTAAATGTAGCTGAAAGCTCATCTTTGTAATTATCTGCATTGCTTGTATTGTCTGCAGGCATGCCACTTTGCATTTTAACCATTTTACTGTGTTTTGAACCAGAGAGATGGCTTTGGAGTTGTTGAGAACTATTCAGATGTGCAGCACACAACGTGCAGATATAGAAATTGCCTCTATTTTGCACATAAGGGCTTAATGAGAGTTCTGACACACCAAGTGAAAGATAATTATTTTCTTCAGATGATGTAACTGATGGCTGATAGACTTTCTTTCTATGTTTTTCTGAAAACATATGATCCTTATATGGTTGAATACCAGTAAATGTTTTATTGCATGGAACACAGGAAAACATTACCCCTGTTAAAAAAGAAAGATAATAATATGCTAACAGTTCACAGGGAATTTTACAAAGTTCAGATTCTGAATATTATACTCATAAATGTTTGCATTTTATTTAAAAATCTTCCATTTCTATTAACTAGACTATAAAAATACACTCTTAGACAAAAAAAAAAAAAAAAAAAACGACACACCAAGAAAGAGTTATCCGAATGGGACAAAAATCGGTAGAAGTGATGTACATGTACAGAAAAACAAATGATTCAGCTTGAAAAAAATTGGGTGATTTAGTGAAGTGATAGAGCTTTACAAAGTGAAAAAAGTCAGTAGCGCATTTGTCCACCTCTGTCCCTTATGCAAGCAGTTATTCGGCTCGGCATCGATTGATAGAGGTTGCGGATGTCCTCCTGAGAGATATTCCAAATTCTGTCCACCTGGCGCGTTAGATCGTCAACATACCGAGCTGGTTGGAGGGCCCTGCACATAATGCTCCAAACATGCTCAATAGGAGAGAGATCCGGTGACCTTGCTGACCAAGGTGATGTTTGGCAAGCAGTAGAAACATGTGTAGTGCAGGGGCGGGCATTATCTTGCTGAAATGTTAGCCCAGGGTGGTGTGATATGAAGGCCAACACACCATGGGCCTATGATCTTTGTTCAACGTACCACTGTGATGTAAGGTTGCGACGGATTACAAAGAAAAGGATCCTACTATGAAATGAAATGGCACCCCAGACCATCACTCCTAGTTGTTGGCCTGTCTGCCGGAAGACAGTCAGGTTGGTATCATACTGCTGTCTGGGGCGTCTCCAGACTCGCCTTCGCTGGTCATCGGGGCTCAGTTCAAAGTGGGACTCATCACTGAAGACTATTCTACTCCAGTCGACATTCCAGTGCAAATGAGCCCGATACCACTGCAAACGGGCTTGACGTTGTACAAAGGTCAGTGGTAACCGGCGCAAGGAGCATCGTGACCTCATCTCCCTTTTCTCTGAGCCATCTATGAATGGTCCTTGTGGTCACTGAAGCACTAGTTGCACGTACAATCGATGATAATGATGCATCTGGGGCTGTGAGTGCCGCTCTGACGATTGCTCGGTCTTCACGTTCTGTCGTTTCTCTAGGCCTACCACTTCCTTCTTGATGCTGTGTGCAGCCATGTTTCACCCATTCCTGCCAGTCGCAGTGGCCCAGCCATGTAATGCAACCATAGCAAGGTGCGAGCATATGTGGACAGTATTAGTTACAGCAGCCCCTGAGTTTGAATCGACAATCAACTGAGATATCTCACCAAAATCCAGCTGCATATTCTTAGACCTTGTCATGTGAGTGTATATTAGCAATGGCTGCATGTTCTTATACTTTGCCACGCAATCATATTTTAGCACAATGTTGCATTTTTGCTCTCACCATGGGCATAGCTAGAGGGGGGGCAAGGGGGGCATCAGTCCCTGGGCGCAGAATACAAGGGCCGCCAAACTGATATTACAACATTTTAGAATTAAATGTTTTCCATCCTTGGCAAGCAGTAGGGGGCGTGAAATCTTCAGTTGTCCCTGGGCACTGAAAACCCTAGTTATGACTCTGGTTCATGCGTACAATTTTTTATGACATTTTCAAACATGCATTGTTATTTAAAGATATATTCACTGCTTTTTTATGAATATGATGTTAACAACCTTTAATTTACCAAGTAATGGGGTGGATGCCATATCATTTATTCATGAAGGGGCACTTCTATCTGACAAACCAGCATGCGAAAATGGCCACAGCATAATCTTTATGTTAACAATGAAACCATTTGGAGGAGTTGACATCCATGAAATGGTGTAACAAACAGCTTAATGTGTGTTAAAGTGCTGCAGTTGACTGGAACAATTACATATAATAAAATAATAATAGTAAGGATATGGATTCTTAAAAATATTCTTAGGAAATGACATGTGAGTATTCATGTTATTTTTATTTATTGTGTTGTTTGTTTTTACATTCGTGCTTCACAAGCTTCCAAAATTATAGCTGAGATCTTGGCATAAATCTAAACTTACTAAATATGTTTGGAGGCAGCTAAAACAAAGAAGTACCGAATCTTTCTTACTTCCCAATGAAAAATATTGTAACTTAATGCAACCACTCAAAAAATAAACTTTAAAATGTAATTCAGATCATCCTCTTATAACTGTTGCTCTCACAGCTGATTAACAACTAACTTGTCCTATATCCAAGAGCCATACTTATATGGTATTGAATAAGCACAGGTGTGGTGCAGCACACACCTATGGAAAAATCAATTGTACTGCTTTGAAAATGTGATCTTACAATTCCTCCCCAAAGTCGGCAAGGCCCATTGGGACCATATTAGCCCATATTCCACATTCTCCTCGACCTATTTATAGCTATTTATTTTTCTGTGGGTCATTATTTTTTATAATAAATTCTCAGTTACTTGTTGCTCATCCACAGCGATTACTCAAGGAGATGAACATGAACATATAGCTCACAAGGTTATTATATCGAATAAATGGTATTTCTTCTTGTACTGGTACTTATGCATTAATATATCCACCTTGCCATAATCTGATGATGTTTTTCATATGAAAAGTTAAAAATTACTCATTGGATGCAAGTTATCAATTTTCGTTACTATTTTGAGAAACAATTCTCAAACTATTGATATTTATCATATGTCAGCAAACATTAACAACAAATCAATACAAAACACAAATTTGAATTATTAAATAAGGATTATATGATTCACAAGAAATAAAAATAAAACATTAACAGTTTTTGAGAAATCCTGAATATTCTTTGCACTCTTCTTCTCCCCATATAACAGTGGTCTGCTTTTGTTAAAAAAAAAAAAAAAAAAAAAAAAAAAAAAAAAAAATCACAAATAAGACAATATAAACTCCATTGCACATTGGCTATCTACCAAATGCTTCTCATCATGGTTCTTTTTAAGGATTTTGTGGCAAAATACTGTACTCCTGTGTAAATTTTACCATTGCTGGGAAATTCTACAAGTGTAAGTTTTAAAATTGGGTTTAAGGTTAAAAATATCAACACTTATCTACAAAAACCATTGAAACTTGGAATATAACAAAAAGAATTAATATAAAAGTGGTAACACTGTTTCAATAAAGGGTTGTTACGAGTTTGAACAGCTGAAGAATAGTTATGTGCCTGGTTGCCATTGCTTAGCACATTCTGAAAATCTGACACATATTCACTTCAAACCAAGGCAGCTGCGATTATACGCAAGTACCCCTGTATTAGTGGTGAACTGGTGACTAATGCCATCTCTAATGATTATCTAAATTAATGCAAATGTGAGTCTCAATTTGAGACATTTCTTTTAGCGGAGTTTTATTCCAAACAAGATCTACAAAAGAATTTTCGTAGATCAGTGTTTTAAAAATGTCACTGAAGATGTACTTTATATATTTACATGTAAAATGTTTTATTACTTTTCAGGTAGATACTGCCAAATTAATTGAAAGTTGATGTTACATGTCACCAACACCAAAATGACCTGTTTCCTTATCATCATAAATGTCGCGTTTATTGTTCATAATAACGTCGCAAAATCCGGGAAAAGTGCAGAATAGCCCACTGCTTGGCGCGTTTTTAAGAATTGCTCATACTCGGTACCCATGTGCACATTCACCTATTTTCACTCTAAAAAAAACTCGCAGAATTGTACAAAAATGGCATTGCCCATTCAGTTTAATCCTAGTATTCCGTGCAAGAAATTTGGCTACTTTTGGTGACTTTATGATGAGCAGTGAAAACGGGACATATACGATGAGTAGTAAACGGTCATTCAAAAAATATATATAGTTATACATAGTATATATTATGTATGTACACACATAGTATATAGACGTTCTTTGAATCATTTTTCGTGTTGGCAATAATTTTCAAAATCACGCCGTATACTAGGATTTTACCGCGCACTCCTTTGACTTTATCCATGTTACACATCGACCTATTTTCACTTAAAAAGTCAAAGAAAATTAACAAAAATCCAATTCTTACTTTTGTAAAAAGCGCCAAACAAATAAGTGGGTGATTCTGCACTTTACCCCGAAATCCCGTTTGTACCGTATACTAGGTTTAAACGCTCAAAATGCATAATATCGATCAAGATCAATATTAAGATAACTTTTCTCACTTCTGCTTTATTTATCCTCGGATGCAGGTTTCTGAAAAAATGCCTATTTACACTACTTTACAGAATACAGGAATTACAGATAGGGTTGCCACCTCTTGGCTGTCAAAATCCGGAAGAGGGAAAAAAAATATCAATTTTCATAACTTTTTATTTTATTTTAAACTTATATTTTGCATTTGATCGTACGGATTTCGAGATATCTGGTCTGGAACTAAAAAATAAAACAACTCTTTGCAGTCCATTTTAAAATTGAAGAACGTTAGGATTTTTGCCATGACATTTCTTCATTTAAACGGTTTCTTTCCTTAGTCCATATTCGAATCCTATACTGAAAACATGCTCGCAGGCAGCGTTTGATACAGGTATAGACAAAACGAATGAAAATACTTTCTTCAACATATGTCTATTTTCCACCGTTGAGAAAAATTTTGCCCACCTCAGAACAACTCTTACATTTGATTTAACAATGCTGTCTTGAACCTCCCTCAAAATGCAGAAATCTTAATAAAGTTTATTTTCATCAAAAGTGATCTTTAAATCAATGGCCAGTCTCTCAAAGCATCCCATATAATCGATTTTTTTTTTCATTGAAAGTACAGTCAAAAGTCGTTAATTCGGACACCCATAATCCGGAATGATCTATAATCCGGACCTCAAAGCTACAAACTTTCTGCGCATGCGTTGCGTTCACGCATGCGCACAGGCGTTTACGAGTGCGCGTAAGACCTTTACGGCTGCGAATATGTTTGTGCGCATGCGCGTGTAATGTGTGACGGAGGTAAGCTAAAATTATCTAATTCAGTTAATGTTGCAGATTGCGTTGTTCCTTAAACTACGAATTGGATCCGGCTTATTATTTTTTGCAGACTGTTAGAACAATTTCATAAAAGTAAGCTTGAACTTTCGATTATGTCAAATAGAATTTCCGATATATATTTTCTAATATGTAATTTGTATCTACAAAGCGAAAGTATGTTTTGCAATCCGAAATCTGTTTATCAATTTCACGCCGCGGATTGGAAATTGATCTATCAGCACTATCCTTATCTTCAGGGCAGATTTTTTATTTTATTTGGCTTATAATTCCTTACTAAGTGTAGTATTTCATCTCGATGTACTCCGTCTTTGATATGATTTAAATCAAGTTCCTCGTCATTATAATTCGCTTTCGATAGTGAAGAAAGTGAGAGAGAGGTTATTGAAAACGAAAACATTTCGATTGACAAATTAGTCGGTATTCTAAACACAGCAATTATAGAACTTGAACAGCGGAACTTTGTAACTAAACAAGAAATTATGTCTGTTTAATAGAATTAAAGAGAAAGTGTTATCACATGAAACGAAGCAACTTACATTGAAAGAAATGTTTAATAAAGTAAACAAATAAATATTAAACTTTTTCTTTTTGTAAATTTTGATACCCTTTAGATCATAATTGTTCTTTATTTCATAAATTACGGTTTCATATTTTTAATTTTGTAATTTTTGCATGCCATCTTACCAGATTTAAACTGATGATCTATAATCCGGAAAAATCGATAATCCGAAATCGCCGAAGTCCCGACGAGTCCGGATTAACGACTTTTGACTGTATGCTCAATTTACTATACTCTGAGTTTTCGAAATCATACCATTTTTTCAGGTAATTTAAACATCTCTCAAAGAAAATGTCTGCGTTTTTATAAAACGTAGCCTTGTCCGTTTCATTTAATTTGTTTAAAAAGTCTCTTACTGAACTTCTCTTTTTTGAAAAATTTTGTCATTTTTTTATTTGTTATTTTTCGGCGGATTTCAAGCGTAACATCGTGCAATTCTGTGCAAGTAACAAAATCACTTTCGATAATTTTAATTTCACTGTCGAAAATTTGCATAACAGTGTGCAAAAAGTAACAGTAGCAAAACGAAAGGCAGTGAGTTTTCGTCTTTAAATGCTTGCCAAATAATTGTACTATCAATTTACCGTGCATATATAGCCGAAATATCACGCAATGAGCGATGTGTCCGGCTCATGAAGCAATGCCCAATGGGTACAAGACGTTAAATTTTCTTGACAATTTGGCAAAGTCAAAAAGGGTGGTAAGATGGGGTTGACCGTGCAATCCCATAGACTTAAAAAAGCCAGAATACAAGACGAGCAGTTCCAGGAGCTGTGAGGATTGCTGTGGTGCATGTCTGTGTTGTTGCAATGAGTAACAGAGACAAATCAGATAATTGATGCAGAAACATAAATATAAGTACAATGAAAGTAAAATATAAAATACAAGGCTAAATACAGAATTTGATACTATGTACATAAAATACAATAAAATATATACAAATACAATAAAGATGGCGTACAGACACACCGGGTGAAGGACCTCCCACCGAGGTCCTCATTATACGGGACCCATAAAGAGTTTGAAATATTCAACACCCTGGGACTTCGTTCTCGCGGGCGCAACCCCCGCAGTCCCCGTCCGGCTTTTACTAAGCATTGCCAGAACGTTTCGTTGCTGATTTAAAACGCTGTCACCTTGCCTCCGGGCACCACTCCATTGGCAAAACCACATTGTATTAAGGTGCTCTGTCCGCTTTGTCAGTCCCCGCCACGAAAACTGAATGGGGTCAAACCCCCGGGAACTCAGTCGACAAATGTACTATGTAGCTCCACCACAGCCGAAGGAACAGACACGACAGCACCAGTACGGTCCCTGCCAAGTCTGAACCAACCTGAGTACAATACTCGGGTTCTAGTCCTGTGAAGATAATTTGTATACCCCCGTGGTTGAGACTGCCTAGGTACAGATCCTAGCCAGTACTTCCCAGGCGTTCGCCTGAGTCAACCCCCGGGGGTAAGGCTCCTATATACCAGGCTGAATCATCAGGCATTCGCGCTCCAAAGTGGGAGATTTAATGGCGGCTGTGTAGTTACGGTGCAACAATTTTTTGTGTTTTTTTGTATAAAATGGGCGGATGTACAGCTATTAATTGTTCAAATCATTCACGGAAAGGTCATACATTGGTAAAATTTCCTAAAAATGAATGAAAGAAGAAAATATGGGTAAATAATTGCCGAAGAGACAATTGGAAACCTGGTCCATGGCGCTCAACTTTGCTTAGTAAGTATAATGTTAATTACGCCTTCATTTAGAGTTTATATCTTCTTCTGATGTTTATAATGTGCAAGTAAAGTGAAATTCTTGTGTACAATAACCTGAGTATCTGCTAATTTCTGTAATAATAGCTATAATTAAATTAGTCTAGGGTTAATGTACCCGTCGCCAAAACATCGCCAATGTAGATGTTTTGAATGTGGAAAAGATGAATTTCTCTTCTAATATAAAGCGCGGATTTTGTTTTCCTGTGCTAATTGTGCAGCGAATCCGTATACTAAAAGTGTAACATGAAAATCATTAGCATATTGAAATTTATTAAAAAATAAATAATAATTTGAGAATAATAATTTGGAAATGCAAGTTAAAATCTGAATATTTGCTAAAGATATATGTAACATTATACTATAGTTGCAATATCGTTGGAATGATATATAATTTTTTTCCTTATTTTATAATCACTATTGTTGAAAAGTTAGATGAGTTGTTTATGCACGGTGCCCACTACCGTTTCTTGGTTAAAATAACTTCTAGAATTTTGACATTGACATCTGAAGTCAATAGAATAAATTGAATAGTGTGAGACAAAATATATATAATTTGATTTCAATAATTGCAAGGATTGTGCAAGTACCATATATTTATAATCACAGTATTATACAATTTGGCAATGGAGTAAAGATTTAGAAATGAATGCAGAACATTCAAATTAGTATTTTCTTGTTTCTAATATATAGAAATATAGTCTATTTTCCAGTATAAAAGTTTTACTTAAAAGTATGGGAAAGCAGATTTGTTTCATGCATGATCTTTATAATACTGGTATGAAATGAATGAATTTTAATCTGTAAACAATTTTTTGTTAATATTGAAATGCGTTTCTTTGGGTACATTTTTAGGCACTTGTGGATCATTTCAGACAACATGCAATAGAAAAAAGATGTCCGTGTGCATAAATTTTCCCATTGTGTTACTTCATTTTATCTAAATTTCAAGGATAATTCTTTTCATTTTTATATGGCATGTTGTATAAAGGCTAGTGAAAATAAATTGGTATGTGTATCTGTTTTTGAAGTGTAATGCTTAAATAAAAAGATGGTGTGTGTTTCTTCATTTAAACAAAATTTCAAGGATAGTATTTTTCAGTGTTTGTTATTTCTCAATGTAAAGGGTAACAAGGGGAAAAAAAAAAAACTGGTATGGTATATCTGTTTTTTAAGCATAATTTTATTTATTTCTTTAGTGATGCATATATATATAGAGAGAAGGTGTTTGGTCCAACTGAAGTTATAATAAATCTAATTTTACTAGATCTCTCCCTCCCCTCAGGTGTAGAAAATTTTCAAGTGCAGAAAGTTTATTTTCAGAATTAATTCATTTCTGATAAACTTTTGGTGGTCGTGTGCTTAATGCATGATATAATTAAAGAAAATAAAAGTAGACAATCTCCTATAACAAAAGAATATATTAAGTACTAAATTACAATTTAAATTACATTGCAGAGATCAACGCAGAGCTCGGAACACAGTTCATGCTACCGTCGCGTACAGTTGTCTCACGAGAAGTCTGAGTGAGTAATGACGTCGCTTTGCTGCTCCGATTAAGAACTGGATTTTACACGTGGCGCCATCTCATGAATAGAAGTTGAAGTATCTGTCGGAACGCCACAGTACTCCCCCCCAAGTACCATCGGTACGTTATAAGTACGTTGGGTTAAATTTAACCTTTCTTCCAGATCTGGTAGTTTTAGGTTGCTCTTTAACGGGATGTAAGCTTTCTTCCGGGAGTGATGTTGATGAGGAAGTTGTTGGATCTTGCATTAGAAATGCTGGTTTGAGACGATCGATTCCAATCACTGATTGTTTGCCATTGCAGATGATGGTGAAATGTTTCGGTGTTCGTTTGACAACTTTGAATGGACCATCATATGAAGTGTTAAAGTTGGCTTAATTGCATCGTTGCGCACGAATACGTGCGAAGATGTCTCAAGCGCAGGAGGATGTACAAAATAGCTTGGCTGGTTATGCGAAGATGCTGGGGTTGGCGAGATATTGC